CCCGGACCTCATTAGCTTAAAAGAAAATGTCAAAAAACGCGACATATGCACCCTCGCTTCCTGACAGATAATCCATACATATGAGCAATTCCAAAATGCCGGGGTAATAAAACCTGATTTGTTAAAAAAGGTTTTGCTATTTTTGGCAGTGTGAACACGTGCCAAGTCCTGTTCAGTAATGAAAACAGCATTTTCATTAAGCTTGTCAACAGAAGAAAGCATAACATGGTTTAAAGGTTTAGATGGCTGGAGCTACTTTTGATGCTACTTAGGGCTATTAACATCGTTGTAAACTGTGGGTCATTGTGCGTAACAAAAACCCTGTAAATTCTAGACACTAACAGGTACCATAGCCTCATCCCGGAAGCCCATTGAAAGGCTGTTAACACTGTTGAAAACTGCGTGATTGTGAGCATGAGTGGGAATAAAAATACCGATAGATATATTTTGTTCCATATAACACAATAGTGGTGTAACCAGCAAACCTTTTGTGGATGCAAAGGTAAGAACCCCTCACTTGATGACTTTGTGTTTTTGTATTTGTTATAATGTAAATCACTTTGAAATGCTTTGCTGCTGAAATGTGCTATCCAAATAAAATTGCATTAATTGATTGATAAGAACAGTACATTTACAATCCGACAGCTGTAGCCAATTGATATGTTAGTGTTAGCTCTTGGTGGTTCTTGAAGCACTGACTACTTGAAGCACTGACTACAAGAAAAATCCACATCTTGTGAATCTCCAAATTATTAAATGCTTGGGACTTCTTTCAAGGGTGTGGTTTATTCCTGGTGCTTTACATTGAAAACAATAAAAGAGATCATAAAACTTATGAAAAATAGTTAATTTGTTATATGTAATCAAACTGAGCTTATTCAAGTAAATATAAGAATATTAAGTTGCCTTGTTAAAAATATGTCAGTAAAGTAAGTTTGACAAACAATTTGATTACACATAACCAATTATTATTTTTATTTTTTAAGTTGGAGCTTCACTATCTTTTTTTTTTAGTGTAGCCTTTCTCTTCCAGACTTTTTCCTTTTGAATTTTCATGGGCTGTAAACCAAAATAGCTGAAATAAAAAGTAGTTTTACAATTGCAATAGTTAACAGTAAGTAAAATACATCTTGTTAATATGCAAGTTTCACTTTATGGATCAAATTACTGAAAAATATTACATTTTTAATAATTGTGTAATAAATTGAAATGACCCTGTTCATCAAAAATGCTTAAACTCGTATTTCTTTCTACTAACAATCATGACGTTAAAAAAGTAATTGCCCATGAAAGCTTTTCTGTTATGTCCAAAACAAAACAGCCACATTTGTGTGGAGTAGCCCAGTTTCCTTTCATACTTCACACATGAGTGAATAAAGAGGAAAGGAAGGGATGGCTCTTTTAAAAGTAAGACATGATGAAAGAAACCATCTAATGTATAGATGCTTTTTATCTACAGTCCAAAAACATCAGCCCCGGGCAAATATTCATTTATTATTCTTATGCCAACTGTATTCCTCCAAAAGCAGAAAACATCCTGTCCTTCTATTCATCTATGAGGGAACTTCAAATCATGATGTGGCCTAAATCTTGAACAGCAGGTTCAAAAGTGCTGTGCATTATTGATTCCTCCCTGGAAAGATGTTTTCATGTCCAAAAGCTCCAAAAGCGGTTAAGACTAGGATGAAAAGACAAACAACTGCACATGGTACAGACCTCATGTGAAAATAGAGAGATTTGTCCTTTGCAGCTTTAGTAAAAAAAAGTAAAGTGCTGAAGATAATCTCCTGGCTGTAAAAACATGACTGAAAAAACATGAAGGCTGGATGTGAGGATGCTTTGTTCTGAGCTCTGATGCACCTTCCCTGACAGAACCATCTTGACCTGACCCTGGCATTAAAGCTCTGGCAAAAAGGTCAAAGACACAGTCAGACAATGAGTTTATCAACATATGCACGTGGCTTTTTGTCGACAGATGTTTTAAGGCTTAAAGCTGTTAACGCTAGTGGTTTGAATAAAGATTAATATTTGCTAGGAGTGTTTGAGGATAGTGAGTTCCACAACTAGAAAATACAAAAAAAAAAAGAAAACATCTTCGGATTGTATCATGTCAAATGACAGTTTGACACAGTTTCGCCAACCAGAGTCTGACAGTATTGAGGACAGCACAGGATACATTATGGTCAGTAAAGTGAGCAGCTGCTGAGCCAAAGTCTGTGCATTTCGAAAAGTATGCTTCCTTATGTGCTCCTTGTTTGAATTTCTTCTGTTCTACCAAATCCTAAAGGTGCTCTATTCAATTGAGATATAGTGTGAAGGACACATCAAAAGCCACAATGTGTGGCAGAACAATTTTTTGGCACACAACTTTTCTTTTTCTTAACCCTTATTCCAACAAATGGTTATGCATGAAAACACATGTTGGTTGTTAACACCAACAGCTAAAGTCTTTTAAACTCTTTATCTTCTTCTTTCTGATCTGATGCTCAGTTTGTACTTTTGCAAAATATTTTCAGCACATCTGGATGTCGAAATATTAAGAGTGCTCCGCTAGACTTAACAAGCAAAAACACCAATGATTGGATTATGGTCAATAAATTATTAACATGTGATTGCCCAAGAGATAAAATTAGGATCAACACTTCCAATCATAAACCACAGTTTTCTCTTAGAAATATTATTGTTTATTTTATGATAAATTGCAAAACAAAAACAATATCAACATCTTCATCATCATCATTATCATATCTTTGTTTCAGACACAAAAAAGGTCCATAGTAAAATGATAAAATACTGTTTGAACATGATTTTTTTTAACTCTTCCAGGATTTTTAAAGCTTGTTATATGCCTTGAATGTGTTGATTGTGAGTTTTGATAATTTTGTTGCAATTTACTTATACTTTTTAGGTCTTGCCATATTCAGTTCATTTCCCTGTGTCCATTATTATTACTAAGGTATTGCCATATGGGTTTATTTCTCAGTTTTCAATTCATTCATGAGTTCTGTTCCTTGTGCAATTTAATTTACTTATCTTGATTATTGTAAGCCTTTTCCGTTACATCTTTTTAATATGCAAGTTTCACTTTATGGATCAAATTACTGAAATGAATTACATTTATAAATTACATTGCTGGCATTTGCAAAGCAGCCATTAGCCAGGCCAGGAGCGACATTATTTTCCAATTTAATTTACTTTTCTTATTACTAAGAAAAGTAATAACTTTTCTTAGTAATAAGGTCATAAGGTATTGCCCTTTTTCTTACTTTTACTAAGAAAAGTAATAACTTTTCTTAGTAATAAGGTAATAAGGTATTGTCCAAAAGCTCCATGAGATGGAGCTACTTCAGCTCCATCTCTACTCAACAGTCTCTCTCCTCAGTTCCCTGCTTTCTTCCTGCAACAGCTGGACCATGTTTCATCTGGTTCATTTGTCACTTTCCATGTCAAAGCTTTTGATTTGTCACTGTTCATTGCTGGATTCTTCTGTTTCCCAACTATGACAAAGTTTTCTTCTGTTCCTTATTCCATGCGCCATATTGCTAATGAAGAAACATAAAAAAAATAAATAAAATCTGTCAGATTCTATATCCTACCAAGCAAGAACTAAAAATGGTCCATCTGAGTATAGAATATAGTTAATTCAAAATAAATTTAGCCTGCAAAGTCTGAGAATATTTAACTACATTAAATTCCTAAGACTATCAAAACAATGAAGGTCAATGAGCCCATGAACTGACCCATTAAAGACAAATACCCCCAGAATCACCTGAAGGTGAGAAAGCTCTCCTGAAGCTGAAGTCAGTTGCAGTCAAAATTTCCCTCTGAATATAGTAGTTCAGGTAAATCATTCGCTAAGGAGAATGATATACTTCCTGTGCATAAAATGGCTTCTGATTAAATTGCCCATTTGGCTGAATCCCAGGTGCAAATCCTTGGTTTTCCCTTGATGGGGATCTGCTTCTCCTGAGCTCCAACTGATGTGATGTGTGTCCTGATTATGATGGGCAGACAGGACTAATAGTTAGCTTCTTCTCTAAGTTCAGTTCTGCCACTTTTTTTTTTTTTTTTTGGACAAAGGCTAAACCTTGTTCACGGGGCAAGTGACATTCTAACAAGCTGTACTAATAATGCGGCATTTTCTCTGACAAAAAACGGTTTAAATAGACTTATAAAGGACTTTGATGTAAACACGCAGTAGTAAGCGCTGACCATGAGGAAATGAGGCTGCAGTTGTTGCTGTCTGTAATCCTGGTCAAAGGCAGTTAAAACACAGTCTGCTGCAGCCCTTTTTAGGTTTATGGAACAAACTATGGAGAGGATTACTGTTCCACAAAAAACAGCAACAGATCTGCACAAGCAGGCTACTCATGATAAAATAATATTAAAGCCCTTTTACACATGCATATAAATAATTTGAAAAGAAGATAATTGTGAGTAAAGATGAATTTGGCATCCTTCTGGAAATTCACTCAGTCGCAATATTATAAATCATGAACATAAAGCTGCTAAGGACATTAATGTAATAGTTTGTTGCTGCATTGACTGAGCTGGGCTTTTTTAAAATTAGGAAATGTGATAAATATTTCTGAATACCAAAATGAATAGACACCATTACACTACCACAACAGGCAGAAATGCAACCAAAAGATATTTACGGTTAAACTTCGCTTTTCTTGGTCTTATTGTTTGCTTCAATCCTCTATACTACATATCATCTTCACAGAAAAATAGGTTTTGGATGTCAGGTAAGAATGTTTAAATTGTTTTGTGCGTAAGCAGTTAAAATAAAAGGGAATATTTTCATCAAATTTGTTGTAGTCAGTACAAAGAAAAAAGGCTATCAGATCATAATGTTAGTAAAATTTATCTTCACATTTGTTATTATTGAAAAGGTATCAGATTGTAAGATGATGTTTCTAAGTTAAGAACAAACCACAGTGATGGAAAATTGCATTAAATTTCTGCAGAAAAGCAATTATTTCATGAATGAAACTCACCAGCGGATGTTTTCAGGGAAGGAATCATCCCAAATCCTTCATGGCTTTAACGCTCACATGCTCATCCAAGTTCAGGACAGTCTCCCTCTCCCTCCTCTTCCTCCTTTTCTCCACGTTCAACAAGACTTTCCCAACATCTGTCGCACCACAGTGGCAGCAGTTCGCTCCGCCCTCCTTATTTCATTAAATCCTTTTTCGACTGTAGAATACCTTGGGGAGTTCTTGGATAATTATGGCACTAAAATAATTTAGGTCGGCTCTGTCTGCCTTGTTGTGTGATGAGGTGGAGAAGCGGCTTCACTCTGACGCGCTGCTGCTGCTGGTGCCGCTCCGCATCTCTCCACTCAGCTGCCAGTCTGGTACAATAACAAAAGTCCTGCAGATTTAAAGGATGGATAAGCGCCGCGTGTCTGGCTGTAATGCTGTAAATCCTTCAGAAACAACACCAAAAATCAGATTTACAATGCTGAATTTTAATTTATTGCTCTTTAGAATAAAAAACAACATTCTCTAAATGTGCAGCAGCATTCAAAAGATGCTGGGGTTAAAACACAATTTGGTTTATTTTCTTGACCTAGTCCTCAGCTGAAAAAAGGGTCCAACCTTATATAGGTAAATGCAAAAGAGTTGGGTTCTGGATTTGACCCAGAATTAAGGTTTCAATATAAAAAAGTGTTGAAGTTAACTGACTAACCTAAAGCCTACAGTTGGATTTAGGAGGAGAGGACGGTGGGATGGAACAAGTTTTAATGCCCTGCCTGCACAATTTTATTTTTCACATGCAAATTACAAATCAGTTCAGATCAATACTTGATTTAAATAGTGCCAATTAAGTCACAAGAAATTCACTCTTAAATAACATAGAAACAACCCAGAGATGTTGTGTTTTTAAACAAGAAAACTGTGTTTTCTTCTAGCAGACAAAGAGTGTTGAATCATCACTTTAATGACAAATTGAACCTTTAATTACACAGTACCATGTTATAGTTTTGGTTCAGCCTCACCTTGTGAGAAAATGTTGAGGGGTGGGAAAAGAACTGCCAGAAGATTACAGCACACTGATAATTGGGATCAGCGATAGTTTGTCAGTTTTTAAAACTAAAAAGAATGAATTACATTTGTTCCAAACATTGTTACAAATTATACTTGTTCAGACTGGCAGATGTCTTTGTTTTAATACAACTCAACAAACTGAATTGTATATGGCAAGAAATAATAAACTGCAAATACATTTGCATCCAAAGTGTGCTTAAGGTAGACCCAAAGCAGGCAAGAAATTAGGAGCAACATAGTGAGTTTGAAGAATTTAATGGTTATTAAACTTACACAACAAAATATAAGAAAACAGAAGAGGACAATGAAAGCAAGGAGGTTATACCATAGACCAGGGGAACATAATCTGGGAATGCGAATCCTTTTATAGGGATACGTTTGAGAAGAGACGGTGACAACACAGAAACACAAATGGTGATGAAGCGAAACACAAAAGACATTCAAATTAATGTAAAAAAGCCAACACTACTATGATCTAAATACAATTCTTTTGAACTTGAGTATTCCTTTTACTATTTTCATATCACACAGGATAAATTAAATGCCTTTGCTTTAGTAATATATTGAAAAGTCAGGAGTATAAAAAAGTTGTATATAATCAAAGATTTCACCCAAAATTTTAATTGTTTTCTCAGACCACAAGCAGATTTTCAGGATGCTTGGACTTTTCCATTTGGTTCCCAGTAGGTGATGGTGGTCTGAGGCTAAACCTCACTTTTCATTTTAATTAATCCCTGTTGCTTCTGGTTCGCTGCGTTCTGAAAGACAGCCATGCGCATCTTCATTTCCGCCGCTCAAGGGGTTTAGATCAGCTGGCAGGAGGCTGCACACTATGGCTTTGGAGGAGGCAAGCTGCTTAGTAAAACAAAAGTCACCATAAAGATCTGTGAGGCAGGTCAAAATGGCTCCAGACATAGTGTACATTACTTAAAAAGAAAAAACAAAGGCAATCAAGTATCACAATTAATATTAATATGAAATTTAATAATTAAATGGAAACAGCCTGAGAAACCCGTCATCAATGAGTGTGTGCAGAAGTGACAGTCTTGCCCAAAGGTACACTGAGGTTGTCATTTGAAAATACATCGATGTATCACTTTTACCCAAGGGTTTAATTATATCAAAAGCTGAGTTGAGTTTATCAAAAGCTGAGTGAAGCTCATTAGGAAAGAGACATCATGAAACTTTAACTTTGGTTACCAGAATTAGCTCCTACTCAAAATCCCAGAGCTAACAGCAGTGCTGATGTAGAAAAGAAGAAGGTTAGTTACTTCTGCACTGCCTTCATAACTCTGTGATATTTTTAAGAGCACATCAGCTGTGCACTGCTTCTTGCCTGGCATTAAATAAGCCCTTTGTGTTCCCCTCCTCAGAAGATTTAATTTCCGTTTTATGTATTGTGGATAGCTTTTATGCTATTGAAGAGATGTGAGCAGATGATCAACAGATGGAGAGTTTTCCGATGTTAAATTTTGTTTGAGAACATACAAAAAAAAAGAAAATGAATCTGATTTGGTTAATAATTTTCTTTTGTGTTTAATGTCTATTCTCTTCTTGTTTGTCGTAAACATCAGAAAATAACTGAAAATGCTTTGATAGGTTGAATGAAAGTAAAGTTTGCAGGAGTAGAAAATATATCTAATAAATCCAGCTTCCTTTGGGTTCAGCATTTATGTTGTAATAACAGCTGTTAAAAGCCACAGCTTAAAATAAATAACTACATAAATTCTGAAATAATTTCTTATCAGGCTTTTGTTGGCTGGTACTGCTTCTTGTTCTGCAATAATGAAGATGGTGGTCTTGTTTGTTTACGGTTGCAAAAAAAAGTCAACAGTTAATATTATGCCTGTAATAGTTGACAATTTTTATATTTCAGTTCATATTTAAATAATATTAAATAGTTCATTAGTCTATTTATTTTTTGAGTGTCCACATTCCACCCTACATCAAGACCCACTGAGGAATACAACATGAAAAATACACTAAGCACAACTTCATTCTTCATGAAACGTAAACAAATGGAGTGGCCTCAGATTTTTGCTGTTGTAGGATTTCTCTTTCGTCTATGGCAAAAGACCATGAGCCATTTCTCTCAGCATCTTCTTATGTTATTTACTTTGATATATCTCTAATTGTCCCAAAATTTGATCTATTTCAATTTGTTTGGCACCAAATAGAGTAATACCACAAGAAAACATATTTATTTTATTTTACTTATTTTTTTTAATACTCTACCATTGGTGTTTGAGTGAAAATGAGAAGTTGTTACAAAAGTCCCACACTAAATGATACTGTAGTTGTTGCAGGAATTCAATAACTTAGGCTCTGTTAAGTATTAACTAAATAACTACAACCATTTCTGTGCAGCAAACCTCTCTTTCTTTGCTCCCTTTAAAGCCATTCGTGAAACCAAGCACAGTCAGATCATTTAGCTTTTAAGTACACGCTGAGATCCCAGCTGTTGCTTGCTCTAATGAGAATCCAGGGTTACACTCATGGTGCTGATGGCTTGTATTATCGGCACTGCATTAAAGAGTGTGCTGCTACAAGCCTTAAGCTCATTTCATGAGCTCATTTTGCACATCAGCAATTTCTCTCCAAACCTCAATTCAAATCTTTTAACAATTAAAAGAAAGAGGCACAGAGCATGGCAGCACTTTAAAATCTAACGCTGCTGCTAATCTCCAAAGAGCAAATGTGGAGACCCATCAGCATGTGACAGATAAACCACTGAAAAAATTATGAATGTGTGCTCCCAGCTTGTGTTTATGAAAAGGGCTGCTGGGAGTTTCTGTGGCTGATTAAAAATAAATACTGATCCCTTAAACATTATAATACATGTGTGCATATAAATGCACACATGTATCTCACAGATATCGCAGATGCCCAGCAACCATTCCATGTAAAGAGATTAGACAAGAGGAATCATGAATGACTTGGTTTTGCATCCAGTTTCAGACTGGGCCCGTTGATAATTCTAGATCATGCTGCAAACATTCAGAGAGTCTGCAGTCAAGGCTCTGCACATGCAGACTTATTATATGCCCAGATGTCCCAGCTGGATTCAATCCTGAAGTCATTTGTAAATACTTGGAGTAAGCCATTATATATTACTTGAGACTGGTATAAATCTAAAAGAAATATAATAAAATAATCTTCTGTTGCAGAGGCATAATATCACTCTAAAAGTGTAGATTAATCCAACCTAGAATTTAAGCACGTCTGCAAATTAAAACAAGATGCCTAACATATATCATTTCCTTTTAGATCAAATTAATGGTGCCACCATTTTTGGCACCCCTTCTGTCATTACTTTGTTCAACTCTATTTTTCCCATATATGATAGTTTTATCCATGTTCAGTAGCATTTTACCATGTATTTTCATACAGAGAGAAGGATCCTTGTGTTAATCTTTGCAAAGTCTCTCTCTGCCATGAGTTTCATCTGTCCAAAGTACACTGTTCTAGTTAAAGTAACAGTAGATCTCATGTTTGTGCTGGTGCTGGTGCAGTATACAGCCACCAGCACTACCTGTATGCCTGCATGCTGCCTGTACATTTGGTCATTTCCAAATAAAATCTTAACATTTTGAAATCTGCATCTTCTCATTTTTGTATTTTTATTGACTAAACCAAATGCAAACCATATTCAATTTCACTATCACCTTTACACAGGTTCACTGTTTCATTTGTCATCCTCACAACATGAATTCTGGCATTCAGAAATAAAGTGTGTTAAACTGAAATCTGATCATTTAAAAAAATTACATTTTATTTAAATAACTGTTAGAATAAAGCCAATGTAGCATGAAAACATGAAAAATGTCTCATTCATTTGACAAAATCCTTATTGATTATGCTGATATTTTGACAGATCTTTACGGTTGGAGTTTGTGTCAAGCTCCAAATTTCTAATTACTACTCAGTTACTGATTGAGTTTTGCTTTTAAAGCTAACCTGATTATTGAAGAAGCTCTGTAGTGTCCCAGCTCCTTGGGTTTTATGTTTAGGGTTTTGAATGATCTTCAAATAACAAACGGAGGATTAAGAACCCAATACTTAGTCATTCAGATTGTTCCTAGAGCCATTGCCAAACATCTCCCCCTACAGTTCAGAAGAAACACTGCACCGTTAGTAAAGTTTTCCTTTGGGGCTTTTAAATCAGGTTTCTGTTGAATTTGTTTCAAAACTGTTGAAGATGTTTTAAAAATCGTATTCCTCTCTTTTCTACGGTGCTACATTTAAAGAAAAAAAAGACACAAATGTTTACTTTGATTACAATTCAATTTTTCGACCTTAAAATACAATTTGGTCACTTATTAAACTTTTTGTTTGTCAAATAAAATAAAATACAACTGTAAGGTTGTCAAAGGCTGATGACTATAAAAAAACCTTTAAAGCTGTTATAGTTCAGTCCTCAGGAAAAGCTTTTTGCCTTTGCTTGTTTTCATATATTGTCCATGAAATGATTTCAATCATTTGTGACTTTAACTCTTAATATTTTGAGCACTTTTTATCCTTCCACTTACATGTCTTCTGATATTGAATTTGAAAAGAAAACAGGGCAGGGGTGGTTCAGACAACAGGAACCTTTTCAACACTGTAAACACACAATGTCTTTGCTTCCCCAAACAATCAAAGATTGGAATGGGAAAAAAAAAAAAAAAAGACAACACAGTTTAATCTGCTGGAATCAAAACAAGCCTTTCCCAAACTCGTTGGTGTCTGCTGGCTTAATCTCTGAATCGGTCAGGGAAAAGTCTACACAGTTCAAATCGGGATTTAAGGTCTGTTGGGCTGTCTCTCCCTCTATTGGCTTGAGGGCTTGATGTTTTCGAGGGCTTAGGCACATTTACTTCAAACCTGGACCAAAATTAGGGTTACATAATCTGTCCCCAGAGCAAGTCAGTGCTATGGATTCATATAGAAAATGGGAACCCATTCAATTTCCTCTGTGGCGCCTCACTGCAGTGATGTAAGGTTTTCCTGACTATTCTCACAGTGCCAAATTGGTTTTGTAATAGCAGGAAGCTGATACCCCATGACGTCTGAGTCAGCGAGTTTATCAACCGGAGAACTCTGGGAGTTGAACTGCTTCCACATTTGTGGTGGCTTTTGCCTATATTGAAAGAAACACTCTGCAAATTATTTATTGCGAAGCAAGGGCTTTAATTGTCCATTATTTACGACAACAGCGTGGCTCAGGCTGCCAGTGATCACATTGGAGACAAAAGACTTCCACCATGGAAATATATTCTAAAACCTGAGCACATAGCACTGAGGATTATTGGAAAATAAATCTATCTCCCCATACATAATTTAACACTCAGGTCATGACCCTCTGGGTGATGTCTGCTTAAGCTGAGATGGGGTAGCCGGATGATAGATCAGTTTAGAGACAATACCTTTCATAAGTTTCATTATCTAAAGTGGCCAAAGAGGAATCTGAAGGAAGAGTCTTAAAGCAGCTTAGGATGCACTTTGCAGCCCAGAAAAAGCCAGCGGGGCTCTAAAAAAATGGAAGGAAGTAAAAGGCGCTCAGATAGATAGAGAGTTGTCAGTGATGAAAGCCAGCGCCTGAAGCTGCTCGCCTGCTCTGCACTTAACACAACAAAGATCTTAGCACAGCAGCCAAGGTTGTGGCTGACCTCAAGCAGCAGAAGACAGGGAACAGATGGAAAGGAATTTGAATATTTTCTTGACTTGTTTCAGAAAAAATTCACTCCCATATACTAAGCTCTAGTGTAGTATAGTGGAAATAAATTTTCCACTTATTTGTAATAAGTGGAAAATTGAGAGCCTGCAACCTCACACTTCAAATTATTACAGGCCCTTTTTCAAGTTTTATAAACATACTGATAATTATTTCTTTTTTTATGATTTTCCTTTTCCTTTCAATTGAAGCAAATAAAAATATAAGAGGGAAAGGAAGCAGGCATACTGTCTAATAAACAGAATAATGTCATTTATTTAGAAAGAAGGGCAGCAAGTGATTGTCGGCCAGTTTTTACAGTTGTTTTCTCTTTATTCAAAGAGGATGTAGTTTGCATGCTACATCCTTTGAAAAAAAGAGACCACAAATCAACAATCAACAGTAACAATTCAGTTTGATCTAAGGGAAGACTTCCTATTTTCCTGTCTTTGTTTCTTTGGAGCTTAAGGAACAAAAAGATCATCACATGCATTCATTAAATCAATTTAATAAAGGACTAATGAACACTTGTGTTTAGTGCAGCTGCATTCATTGTATTTATATGAATTATAAACAGCCATGGAAATTAAGCCAAGTATTCAAAATGCCTCATGACAGACTAAACATCTGTGATCACATAAAACATAAAATCAGATACGAGTTGCAATGTCAAGCCGAATTTTTTTTTTATAAATAATAATAAATTTATGAAATGTTTTTTTCAAAGTGAAGATGTAATGATAATTATTGTATACTAAAGCTGCTCCATTCAAGCTGCTATATTTGCTAATAGAGGAGTGATTGCATGCAAAATGAACCAGTGGCAATACAGTCATGTCTCACTGGACATATGAGGCATAGGGGATGTTCTTATATTTAGATTGGTGACTAGATGTTCTGGTCTGCTGCATGACAATAGAAGTCACACGACACATTCATATATACACACATGACTTGCAGGACAAGGAAGTACTTCACCACCAGACTGCAGAAAGACACGCAGTAAGAATATAGCATATATTTAGGCCATGCTATGGGAATTTATTTACTTCAAGTGTTTATATGAGTAATTCTTTTGTGCCGTGTTGCCATGAACTTTATTTTTGATTTGTCTGTAGTAAGGTTCAGATTTGACTGTTGATAAATAAACATAAAGTGAAATACCAGCATTTTTATTATTTTTCCAAGCATTTTAAGAAATTGTGTTCAGAGTGGACACAGCGTTATTTTCTTTCATCAAAGGTTATTTCAGCATACAGTGTTTACACATAAATATATCCCATTTAAAAGAACAAATAGAAACCTTCACCTTAAAGACCTTCATATTTGATAACACTGCTAATGTTCATGGTCAAACTTTAAAGTCTGAATCTGAAATTATGCAGATTTTTTTAATGTAGCAAATATGTTCATTCTCTGAAGTGCTCTACCATAAAATTTGAAAATTTGCAACAAAAAACATTTTTCATCCATTTAAATTCACCTCGAGTAGTTATTGCAGGGTAACAGCTGTCAGCAGTACAAGCTGTCAGTAGTACAAGCTTTAGTACTTTCAGTGTAGTAACATGCTCCCCAGGAGTTTGGACAGTAATGTGATGTATTGAGTTTGGTGAGAGCCTCCAAATTTCTAACACATTTCTGTTGATTTTTATAAGAGCTTCTGACTCAAAATGGAAAAAATGTGAGTCTTTTTGTGATTCCTTCTGTCAATATGGTAGTATTTGAAAGACTACCATATTGACAAGTGGTGGAACTTGATATAAAAGCCACAAGAATAAATTATATTTTATTACAAGCTCAAAATACCCACAAGATCTGACCCATTTCCTCAATCAGTTGGATTATTGCCTTTTATAGTCACAAATTCCCTAATTATATGTTCTCATTAAACTAAAAATAATTAATATTAATGTAATTTAATGGTATTCATTGGGTTTTTTATGCAGCCGTACATAATTTGCAGCACTTTAGTTGTCTTTGTAAAGCTTTGGACATTCCTGTGTAACTTGACACTTGACATCACCCTTCTCTTTCAGGAAAACCAGATGTAGCTTCCCTGTATGGAAAAAAAAAAAAAACCCCAGACATGGAGTTCCCATTTTACTTCCTTAAAATCCTGCCAATATAAACTCGCACACTGACCTACTTTAGCGACACAGGCACAGAACTTCACACCTAGAAGACTTCTCGAAACTTTTCAAACTTCTGAGCCCGAGGTAAGTCTGCTTATCATGCACGTTTACTTTTGTTAAGCCTTTGTGTTGAGCAGGGCTCGTGTCAGAAAAGGCTTTAAGCAATCTGAAAGCACAGATGTTTTGTAACCTAGTAAAAGCTGACGGCTGGTGTAATAAAACAAGTTCTGGTGTGAAATGAAGCTAAACTTAGTTCTCTCAATTACTGCTAAACACTGTAGGTTTAACTACATAAATGATATATGTGAAATAAGTTAATTTCTATAACATAAAAGAACCTTTGAGAGGACTATCTGTGTGACTCATGCAGAAACACAGCGCCCACACCGGTAATTAAATGCACATTTGCTTTTTAGGCCAAGCTTTCTAACAGATCACTGCAAGGGTGAAGCTATTGTTCTTAGTTGTAGAGCTATAGCTATAATCAATGTGTGTAGGAAGCAACAAGCTGTTTCCTGTTGTTTAGAATGAAAATCCCAGAAAGTTATTGGCCTTTAACTGGAAACTGTGAACAAATGCAGATTAGATGCACAGTTTCATAAAAAGAGACTTGATGAAGTGAAAGCAGAGAGCTGGACGGGCTGCAAAGTCTTTAAGATAAATATATCTTGGTGAAAAAATTATGACATTTCACATCATGACTTGGGTCCTTTATCCTTTTGTTGCTCCTATACAATATAGAATCAGAGACAGAATGTTGTTTTTTTTCTTTGAAATTTACCCGTCTGCTTACTTGAAACAAACTTCAGGCTGCTTCCACCCACAACTTTATAAAGTTTTCCTAACAGAAAAATAAAACCAGTGTATGCACATTGTTCACTCTTTATGCATCAGCACATGACTGAAAGCCGGAAATTGAAATCAGAAAAAAGTTTGGACAAAAGCCAGGTGATGGTTGGGGCCTTCTTTTTAAACTCAAACACTTACTGTTCTTCACTGATGCAAGGAGTTAAATAAATTATAATTGCAAATACACTTATTGGCAAATAATACCAACTGGTTAATGGGTGTGATTATTATTATTATTAATATTATTGTCATTTTACTTTCAGGATGTTGTCGTGTGTGTGTGTACTGCTGCTGGCTGTCTCAGCACTCAGCCATATGGATGAAGCCTTTCTGGAAGCTCAGTGGGATCAATGGAAGATCACACATCACAGAGAGTACAATGGTTTGGTGAGTGACTGCTGAAACAAACTCTGTATCACAAACACTTATCTTCCACTGAAGCCTGTGGTGGTTTCTGACATGGCCAACATGGGCAACATCCCAGGGTGGCATCTTGTGAGGTATGACATGAGCACCCCCCATGGGTCCTTATTACCAAAAATATAATTTATTATACTAATATCAATGTTAACCTTTTACTGTTGACAACACAACCAAGTTTTTGTCTCAGGCCAGTCATGCGAATTGCAGTATTTATAAAGCAATTATAATAGAAAATGCTTATTCACCACAGGACACCTTTGTTCATTGACAGTGACTGACTGCTGTGGGGTTTAAATGGGGTATATAACTCCAGGCTGCAGCATTGGGCTGCACTAGCGTTTTGTTGCCCATTTTTCTCACAAAGGAAAAAAAGTCTTCTGTGGAAGTGAGGAATACAAGACCAGTAATGTTTGTTTGAGACAAAAAGAAAGAATAGAAGTAAACTAGGACATGCAAAGTGAGAATTGACTATTCTGATTGTTTTTTTTTTTTTGTTTTTTGTTTTATTCCAGCCACGGTATTCAATGATAAAAGACAAGAAACAAATTAGTAAAATGTGTCATCTTTGTCATAAAAATCCCAATCATTGTTATATTAATAATAATAATTTTTCCATCAACTGAAATCATGAGGGAAAATCCAATTAGCCCATTTACTGAATAGCTTTCATTAATGTGGGTCATCTTGACTCTGATGGTGAAGCATAAGAGCAAGAGTCAGAAATTCCCAACAGAGGAAACTTTCATCACCTCTGACTTATTTTCTGACCCCTTTTTTAAAAATTGTATCTTCTGCTAAATTTTCTCTCCTCTGTCAGATTGATTTAAAAATATACATATTTTTAAGTTCTTGGCTGTGAAGATAAAAGGGAATATGAGTTGACTCCAAATTTATTTTGTGAGTGCTTCAAGAGCATCTGTTATTCGTGTTTGTGCTTCACCTCCGGCTAAAGGTCAGCTCTCTACAGCTGGAGAGTGTGTTAGCATCTACACCCTATTCGAGTGTGAAGATGCATGTTTGCTGTGTCACTCAATCTTGTTTTTCTGTACAGAATATGAGCATGACTTTTATACTACTTTAACTGATGTTGTGCAGACACAGATGATATTTTATGTAGTAGACAGATCAATCTTTAATGTTTTTAATTAGCCTTCCTTGAAGACATCCACAAGATCAGTTCTTTATCTTTATAGTTTGTCCAAACTGTTCCTACAAGATTGTTATTCACTGAAGCAAGTTTGGTCTCCATATTAAAGGAAACCACATTATGTAGTTGAATAAACTCATGAAAAGTGAATTTCATTGGGCTGCACCAGCGTGTTTGTTGGCCAGTTAACTCACAAACAAGAGTCAGAGAGGTTTGTGAAAACCCAACAGCTTAACTGGTGAGTTTGCTTCTCAGTCAGTGGCTCCAATTCCTCGTCATCACCTTTCAAAAAGCAGAGATAAAGGTGATGTTTAGCAGCTGCACCAAAGCCTTTTGGCTACATTTTGTCCCTCAGACATATGGCTAAAAGTAAATATTGGGTTTTGACCAAATAAAGTGATTAATTCTGAATAAAACAACTGTTTAAAAGAAAATTACTGGGTAAATGACTGGTTAAATTGTCCTAATTAATAAAATTAGGCTACAATACACCAAGCTTTTTTCTTCTTTTCAGCATGCTAATTATAATGAAATTTGCCCTGTTTACCCAGATTGGTTAGCATCAGCTGTCAGGTCTTTATACAGATGAGAAATAACAAATGTAATCTTTTTTTCTTTTTTCTTCTATCATTTTTACACTATCCTTATTTTACTTCTAACAAAATACATCTGTGTGGAGAAAAATTTATTGGCTCTTGCTTGCAAGAGTTGAAGAAGAGTTAGAAATGCATTTCATTTTTCACATACATTTTTCGAAACAAAACGTAAAGTGTTCTTTCTGTTACGTTTTACATAGCAATGACAAAGAGCGCTCGCTGTATGTAGGTCAGCATTTCTCAGAACATCTCTCTCCCATACGCAGCCTGGTTGCTGGTTTTATGCAGTCACCAAGTAATGCATTCACTGCCTGCAGGTGTTATGAGTTAGTTGCTATTCAAGCTTGAAAAATGGGAATGTGTATTCAACATCCATTGTGATTTAATCTTTGACAACTTACCTTGCTTTCCTACATTTTTCTTTACTTTTAAAGAATAACGTTTTTGGCTCTGGTTTTCCACTGCTTTCTGATTTCATTAATACTAAAGCTGAAATGAACTAATTTTATTTTTTCAAATGTGAAAGTTCACACTAAAATGTATAGTTGGTGAAACATACGCCTTTTAAAAATGTCTTATAATAATGCTTGAAAAACTAAGAACTCAGGAGAAAATTATGCTTTAAAAGGAATTTTTTATCAGGCTGCAGAGGATGAGTGCAGTTTTGCCTTTTGAACTGACATCAGGACCTGAAAGCTGCCTTTGTTTGACTCAGGATGAAGAAGGGATCCGCAGAGCCATCTGGGAGAAGAATATGCGAATGATTGAGGCTCACAACCAGGAAGCAGCACTGGGCATGCACTCCTACGAGCTGGAGATGAACCACCTGGGAGACATGGTATGCTAATGCTTCTTTCTCCATCTGTGTAGAGTTAGGTTAAAGTACATTACACATGCACATCTCAATAAATTGTATATATGTTTTGTTCCAGTGTTTTATTAGAAAAACACACATTCTTCTTTTCTCCTTTTTGTGATCATATGTGATGCACCACTGTCTGCATTTTTTTTAATCCAGAACTGTATTTCCAACAATTCTATGACTTATATTGTTCCTGTGATTGTTAGAACACATTCTTTTTTATCCACCACATTTTAGGCTCAGTCCATTTCAATACACCTGCAACCAACTAATTATATTATTGATTCAATTAAAAGAAGTTAACATGAAAACTTCCTTTAACAAGTGATGTCTGTAAATGTTTTGGTTTTACTTACATGGCTAATTAATGATTAGCCAATTTAATGAAAATGTCTGTTGGACTAATTATTTGGAGCCACTCCAAGCCTTTAGCATGGTGAAGGGAGTGAATCTCCATCTGCGCAGACAGAGAGTCTGCTAAGTGTAGTGTGAGATCGGGTCAGGTAATTATCTGGTCTTTGCTGCACAGTTAGAAAACACTAAAAGCTGAGACATTCATGTTTTTTTTTTTTTTACATGATTTTTGTTTATTTAGTATTATTTGTATTATTTTTTAAGTTGCTTGTATTTTTTTAGTGTACTGCATTTATATTGATCAGATGGCACTGTACTGTATGGTTAACTGTGGCATATTTTGTAATTTTATATTGTACCTTTTGAAATTTGTTCATGTCACTGAATTTTTCATGTCAAAAAAATTTTATATTTGCAAATTGGCTTAACTTTAGATGAAACTGATTATGTTGCAATATTAGAGAGTCATAGAAAGGTGGCGTTGGAGTTTTATTATACTTAAAACCATAAAAGTATGGTAAATATTTCAAACATTCTTCAGCATTTTTTTGTATACATCATATCCTACTGTCAGCTTTTTGGCCTAACCTCTGCAGGTCCGTATGCTGCAGCAAATGCTAAGCTGTCTGAAATCTTCCACAGGCGATGCCATGCCTGTACATAACTGTCTTCCTGATACACGTTGTCAATCAAAAACTGATTGAAAAGCTATATCCAAATTCTAGATTAACGTCTCATTTATGTTCTTGTTTAAACAGGTGGCTGTAAATGAACGATGCCTTCATGTTTTCATTTTGATGAGAAGACATAAAATTAAATGAAGGAGCTCAACAGATGGCTGTGTTCCTTCCTCCTGCCTGTTTTTAGACTGAGCTGGGCTGAAATCTCTGCATAAAACTGATAGGAATGAAAGGAAAACATAATCACTGAATATCAAGTAACCAGCTGTGTGTTATGACAGCCAAATACAAAACCAGAAATCACATAATATCCCCCGTGCTGTTCTTTATTTATTTATTTTTTTCCTTTTAATTCCTCTTACTCGCTCTTGGTCTTTATTTTGTTTTGACATTAGTGTTGAGAAAAATTACATTTCATTTCATGGTAACGTGTGTTAAGCCATCACTTCATAAATTTCTTTTCATTCTCTGTCACCTTGTTGAATCAATTCCTCTGTCTCTCATATCTCTGTTCACTTGTCATAAAGAAAATATTTATTGTTGAGATGGGACAGTAAAATGCTTGAGTCCGATCAGCTCAACCTCTCTTTCCCTAGTTATAAAAATTAACTCTTTGAGAGACACTCGTAGTTTAAGTGTCATCTCCAGCACTTTTATCTTTGAAACATGAACAATGTAACTGTTAGGCATTTTTGTGTTCCTGCAGACATCTGAGGAGATGGCGGAGAAAATGACTGGCCTACTGGTCCCGATGGATCATGAGCGTAGCTTCACCATGGCATTTGACGAGTCTGTGTCCAAGCTTCCCAAATCCGTCGACTACCGCAAGAAGGGCATGGTGACCCCGGTTAAAAATCAGGTCAGAAAACAAATAAATATACCGATTGTCTTTCAGACTGACTTTTTTTTACTTTGGAAGTTATTTCCAAAAAAGACTCTGCTTGCTGTGTTTTAAGGAGCTTGAAGAGTATCTGGGTAAATATTTAAAACTACAAAAGATTGCTCATTAAACATAATAGAAACTATGGAAATATGGCATTTTGCATAAAGACTCCATCATTGCTCTGCTTTTTATAAATGGATAGTATTATTTGAGCATCCTCTAGCTGTCATTGGGCACCCTGTACTTGTCAGTAATGTGTAAACCATATTTTACATTTTAGGGAAATTTGTGGTCATTAATTACCCTTTGTATGGATATCCTTGGACATTGAGAGAACATGTAATTAGGGGCTTATTTAGCTCTTTCTTCAGTTTCTTTACTTGGACAAAGTGGGGCAACATTCTCATGTTGATGTTGTAATCCATCAACAAAAAAACTCGTCAAAATAAAGAAAACATCCAAATATTAAAAATATCTAACTTGGATTTCATCGGAGGGCCTTTGACCTGTGAAGTTACAAGATATGTGGGCATCCACTTTGTGGTGACCTCTGGTCACCACGTTTATTTAGTCTTAACTCTAAATGAGCCATGAGAAAATTCAAATATAAAAAGGAGCATTTTGACCAATCTGCTGGGTGGAAGGGTAAATGCTCAGATCCAACTCCTAGCTTCTTCAGCCTTTAAATCAGGTCCCTTTTCCCTGTTCTTCACAGTTTCAGAGGGCTTTATATACCAACAAGACGCTGATGCCCTGTCCAGTACAACGGGATATTTTCCATAAACTTGCTGCAATAGAATCATTACTAGCGCACTGTTTCCCCATCATGAGGAAATTCATCTTAATCTCTGCATTAATCATGACAGTATAAAACAATTTAACAATGATCAAAATGAAAAATATGTGCCGTCTTCAGTCGTTACAATTTTAAACGATAGAGCAGGTCAATAGACGAGGAGATGCACTTGAATCACAAATAGATCTTTTGTCAGACTGTGGACGAAAATATAGATTCACTGTATCTTTATTAAAGTGGATCGTGACACTGAAGGCAACAAAGTTAAAGTGTTAGTCAACTAAATAGCTGGCAGAGACATTGTAGTGCCATAGCATAGACAGATATGAAATGGGGAAGTACAGCTGCCATTCTGGTAAATATGATGAACAACAAAAAGCATGTGAGCACCAAAAGCATAACAACACATTCCTTCCATGTGATCAAACGCTGAAAGCTTGTGAGGAAGCTGAAATGCACCTGCCGCACCTTTGTTTGCAAAGCAGGAATGCAGGTAGACAGAAAAAGTTTGATTATTAATCACCAAACAACAATGATCAAGGTTCTCATCTAGTGAAAACTACATCTTTCTAAGTTCTTCATGACTTTCATAGCAATGAGCATGTTTCTAGGTATCTGAAATGAAAAAAAATATGACAAGTATGTTTTTACATAAAACGTGGTGCAAATGTTTCAAAAGTAGTGAAAACAAAGTTCCCAAGCTTTTCTTGGAAGAAAGTTAAGAAGTAAATACAATTGCTGCAAATGATTAATCACCTGGGAACTCATAAGGTTGTTCTAAAAAAAATAGAAATGCAAAGTGAGAAGACTTCAAATAATTGTAATTAAATGTAGAGAAAATAATATTGGAGACGGGCGTTGCTTGAGAATGAAAAAGCACTCAAAAAAAAAAAAAACATCAATCAGCATGCTACAGTGGCATCTAGAGAACAGCAGCTTTTCAGCTTTGAAATACTGAAATTGATGTGAAAGTGAAGAGTATATTTAATACCCTCATAAATACCTGGAAATACATTTTTTTTTAAATATAAGCTTCATTTACTCTAAACATAATGGATAAAGCAATTATCACAGTAAGAGCCCAGTCACGTAACAAGGAAAAAAAGCCTGTGTTCACTGCTAATGGATTTCAGAAACAAAGACCAGGCTGTGATTATAAAATGTAATTAGTCATCATGAGAGAATTGAACACTCTGGGTTATTTATGCAAACTATTGTCCTGCAGAACAGGAAGTGAACGAAGCGCAGTGAAATCTAGTTTACATCTATGATTCCTGCTAACAGGCAGATCAGCTTCAGAACAATGTCATGTTATCTAACGAACATCAGAGCTGGTAAAGACACGCTGAGCCCACAGCTGGCTGAACATTTTCTCTTTGATGCTTATAGATCACAAAATTTCTCTGGGATGAAATTTTGTTTTCTTAAAATAATGCTAAATTTTCAGCTTACCTTTTTAGAAATCTATAAAATGCATGAGACGTGTTTCAACCTTCCTGTCTGCAGAAGTGAATTTTAATTAACACATGGAGATGTCAAAATTACAAAAATGACAAACTTATGAATCTCCTGTCTTGTTTATTGTTAGGGGAAAGAAATAACTTAATGTTTAACTTTAAGATTACTTTTTGTATCTGTCTTTTAAATTAAGTTGTTTTGATTCAAACATATCCACCCTAATTTGTAGGCTATAACTCATTTCAAGAGTTTCTCATCTAAGAGTCTTACTGACTTAAAAGGTTATTATTGTAACGCCCCCTTGTGGTTGAGTTTCCTACCTGCAGATGCTATATAAATAGGTTGATCTAAGCGTCTCCTTTTCTTCCTGTTATTCATGAATTATTCAACATCGTGGCAGCAGTCTCTGCATACTAACACCTCTGCTGATGTCTCACCCTCTGCAGATTTTATGCTACTCAGTCATTATGTCCTAGTGTTTTGTTTGATTGTAACCAAATTTAATTTTCGCCTAGATCAAACAGATTTCTAAATTAATCTGGTTGCACATCTGTAAATCTTTTATAGAGAGCACTAGCTTGTTATAAAGATATATGTGTAGAGGAGAAGCTGTTTAAAAATTCATGGTCGAATAATTAGTGGAAATTTACAATTTTGAGGTGGAGTCTCTTCAAACAGCATTATTCCTTTTAGTTTTTAGTTACCTGGGTAAAGCATTTGTTTCTCAAAATGTTGACTCCCTCCCTTGAATTGTATTTAAATATTTAAATCTGTTTAATTATTTGATAATGATGCACAAAAGAAATAATACTCATTGTTCAATCTCTAATCCATCTGGTCAAGTTTATTCTAAGAAAATTCTGCCCTCCAGCGTTCAGACAGTATAATGCAACCACTACTTTCTAAAACATTTCTTGCACTGGAAGTGTTTGAATCAGCTGACTTTACAATAATAAGGGTTTTTAATTATTTGAACAGTAGACAGTATAACTACTTCTATAGCACTAATTTAACCTTGAGCCCTCGGTTATGTCCTTTCTGACAGGGTTCCTGCGGTTCCTGCTGGGCTTTTAGTTCTGCCGGGGCACTCGAGGGCCAGCTGGCCAAGAAGACGGGTAAGCTCATCGACCTCAGCCCTCAGAACCTGGTGGACTGCGTCAAGGAAAACGACGGCTGTGGAGGCGGATATATGACCAACGCCTTCAACTATGTGCAGGAGAATGGAGGTATTGACTCTGAGGAAGTCTACCCATATGTCGGACAGGTGAGAAACCCATTTATTAAAGCTTTATCTTTTGTATAGTCTTTATGTGTTTGTTGTAAAAGCAGAGTGAGATTCAGCTTTTTTCCATACATTTACTAAATGCTTGAGAGCCTGAGTTATCTTCGGTTGGATTTAGTTGAAAACCTCACTGGATTGTTCTTTATCTTAGTTTTTGAAACTCTTATTTTGGGGGTTTTGATTGGTTCAAAAAAGCGAAAAGAGCTATAGAGCTTCTAGGTATTAGCTTCAAACTCAGTATGAAACTGTAAAAATCATCAGTTCTCCTTTTGTCTGTCAGACTTGACAGACAGCTCACGTGTCAAAATGTCATTAATAAAGAAAGTAGACATTTTTTCTGTAAAACACGAGCTAAAGTATGACCAAAACGTGACTCAGCAGAAGTGACAAGGTAGAAACTTTTCACAATGAAAAAAAAAAAAAAAAATGTTTCCTCTTCTGTTTACACGAAAGTTCATTGTGTCACCTATGGGAATGTGATCAGTCGGGTCATGTGAGATGGGCATTTGAATGTAATATCACAAGGTGTTCAAAGTAACCAGGAATATATTCTATTCCATTCAAGGTCTTTATTAGCTTCTTTTTTACATTCTTTTATGCTGTAGTTCCTCATTTTCCCATTTTCACAAAAACAAAGATGCAGTTTTTCTCAATTTTAAAATTCCACCAAACCTGTTTTGACTTTTTTATCTTTGTTGCGTCTGCAGGACCAGCCTTGCCGTTATAACTCATCTGGCATGGCAGCCCAGTGCAAAGGCTACAAGGAGGTGCCAAAAGGCGATGAGCGCGCGCTGGCAGTTGCGCTCTTCAAAGTGGGCCCAGTGTCTGTGGGCATCGACGCCACGCAGCCGTCCTTCCAGTTCTACCACCGAGGTCAGTGACAGATTACATCTTTACATGACTTCAGTAAGAGCTTTAAGGTTTTGAAAGAAAAGAAACACAAAGCCAACAGTTCAGACTTCATTTTTTTCACACTTGAATTAGTGTGAAATGTGGATTTTAAAGTGTATGCTTTATAATCCTTCATGGTGAAAAAATAAACTCAGCTTTTTACCTGAAGTTACTTAGAATCCTTTGTAATGCCTACTGCTGACTAGGCTTTTTTAAACTAGCAATTCAGCAATAAGACTCCTGATATCAGATCTTTTTAAAACTATAATTGCTTGTGAAAATATTTATTTTTATGAAAACCTAATTTAAGTATTTTTACACTAAATTCATACTTGTTTTTCTAAATTTGGCGTCTTTAAATGTATTCTCGCTAATGTAGATAACTGATGTATGAGAGAGAGAAAACTGAACTCACATCAGGAATATTTTATATCTTATAAATTAAAAGAGAAATTAAGTCTATATTTTTAGAAACGGCGAAGTTTTGTGGACTTTCAGCTCAAGGTTGTGTGTCTCTCATCTGTGACATTATCAGGCATTTACCACGACTCCAACTGCAACAAAGAGGACATCAATCACGCCGTGCTTGCAGTTGGCTATGGTGTGAACACCAGAGGAAAGAAGTACTGGATCGTCAAGAACAGGTGGGGCTCCTCAGCTTTCTGGAAGGCATCAGGTGGCTCTTGGTGTCAGCTAAATGAAAGCTGCGTTGTTTGCTGCTCTGCTGCTGATTCGATGCCTGACAGCTGATGTTTTCTTCTGACGAACTGATAAACTGAAACACTGCTTCACCCCTTCAATATGTGCTGTTCTTTATGTTGTCACGGCAGCTGGGGAGAGACCTGGGGCAACAAGGGTTACGTCCTGATGGCACGCAACCGTGGCAACCTGTGCGGCATCGCCAACCTCGCCAGCTACCCCATTATGTGAACAAAAGACTGCTGAAAAGAAGGGAGGACAAGGAAAACTTACAAAGACTTTGAAACACCACTACAACAAAATATCACCTTGTTTGCACTGCAGAGTCTTTCTGATTCATTGTGTGAAAACAAGACAGGAGATGAAAACATTGCTGGCAATGTAAGTTCCTCCCTTCCTGTTGGAGAGTCAGTTCCTATAAATGCTCTTTTCTTCCTCATGATCATGTGTTCTTTTCCTTTGCTCAAGCACTTTTTTGAATAATTCAAATGCAACTTGTTGTTTTCTATTAAGATGAATAAAATTTTAAATTTGAAACTGAAATCATGTTCATTTATTCTCTTTCTTTTTTGGCTCAACCTCAAATTCCCATTTTCTACATAATCCACAAATTGCCAAACAAAAACGACCCCTTTTAGATTAACTAAACTTTATCATGCTAAACCCTGAAGCCAAATAAAGATTCAATGGTTTCTGAATTCAACTCTATAAACACAACCTTATCTATGCAACTGGCATAGAAAGCAGACATCATGCATCACTGGCTTCAAACAAGAACTGATATCATTGCTGTGACAATATTGTTCTTAGAAACACCAGGACTCTAGTGTAACACTGATTGGATGTCAATGTGTTTATACACTGCTGCCTAGCAGTCAGCCAGTACAAAAGCAAGAATTTCTTATAAATGTCTTACTGGTCCTTCTGTAGAAATACATCTGTGCATTAAAAAACAACAAAAAAAACTATTAACATTAATGAAGATAATAGTTGAAACTTCAGCCTCCTCTAACCAAAATGGAAATAACATGACATTGTTTTAAAAACTTACAACAATGGCTCATGAATGTGTTGAAAACTAATAGCATTTTTGATTCAAAAATGTTTTCTGCATGTCTTCGATGTTCAAGACTCTTTCATGGATTCCTCCTCATAGTTCACTGGCCTCCAGGAACCACTGTGAACTCTTGACCTCTCATCCATAATTCTTTGAGGTCAAATTTTCAACTTGACCTCCACACTTTGGTCCAGAGACCGCTCCAGTTGGAGCTGCATGTTTGGCTGGATGATCAAAAAGACTTTGTTGCCCTTAAGAGCATTTTTAGAGACCTTCTTGACCTTTTGTTGTTGCCACAAAATGTTCACTGTGTTTAGATTTACAAAAAGCAAAATGGAGAAAAACTTAATATAGCGAAACATAATCATAGGTACTCTAACTCAAATATAAAAACAGAAATAGACATGACCATAAAAATTGTTAATGACCAAAAAACCTGCAATGGTCACAGAACTAACTTAAAACTGACAAAAGTTTTATTTCCAACTCTGCACTAATAAAAAATATACTGCAAACTAGTCAATAAAATTCAGACAAGGTTGTTCAACAGAATCATTTAAAAAAATAACTAGTAAAGCAGGATAAAAATGATGGTACATATAACTTAATATTTTATTGCACAACCTTTAATAACAATAATTTTTATTTACAAGTCCCTTTCATGACACTCACAGTTAATTTACAAGTGCAATCATTACAATTAATTTCCAAATGAATTTCAACAAAACAAAACCAGACATATTTTTGCCAATTCTGTGTGTAAAAATTGCTCCTGCAAAGTTTCCTAATATAATTTCAACCATTAAACAGCAGATTGTCAAAAAAAAAAAAATCCACTTTGAAACATTACAGGAAGATGTGACTGCTTGGGAAAAAAAATCATAAGTGAAGAAGGAGGAGGAAAGACTTGGAAGCATGTCTTCCCTAAAGTCTTGAAATGTGAATATGGTTTGACACAAATGACATGATATACTGGAGAAAAAATTAATTCTTTATTGTAGAGCAGAGATTTTATAGAGAAAAAAAACAATTTTACATGTTACTAAATGAATGTGCCCTAAACGTTACTAAATGTAATAAATTATATAGATTAACTGCACAGTTAATCTATATATTTAACTGTGTAGTTAATCTATATAATCATATTTCTTTTTTCAAGGCTGTTGTGATGTTTTTCTGCTTACAGTCAATGGAACTAAAGTGTAATAACTATTAGAATATTACATCAGATTAATTATTTAAATTAAATAAAAAACAGAAATGGTTTACATAAAAAGTATGTATAAGATCTGCTCAAAGATCATTATTAAAATGTGCTTTTGATCTGACATACGAACCTCGTAATTTATTAAAAAGGACTAAATGTAAGTTCCGTAAGCGTTGCACCTTCTCCGCCTATTAGAGTCTTTATTCTTCGGTTTAGTTTTGGGGTTGTTAGATTTGGTCTGTGCTTACCTTGTTGCGCAGCTTTCTGTTTCGAAAGAGGAAGAACTGCGACTGATCATGTGACATTATCTGCATAAAAACCAAGCAGGAAAATACAGCGTGAGGAAGTTCAGCACAGAAACAGCGATGTATCCGGATCACAAAGGTCAGTCAATACCTTTTTAACCGCTTAAATGCTGTAAATTATGTTAACATCAAGTAATTTAAGATACGGATGTCTGCTCTCGAGAGCCCCTGCCTTTACTTTCGATTTTGGGTGCTTAAAAGAAGCTTGTTTTGTGTTCGGGCCTGAAGGCATTTTAACGTTGTTTGTCTGAAGGACACGGAAATTCAATTTCACTTTAATTTTACAATTATCCAAAATTGCCCTTTCTGTTTTATTTTAAACTACACCTGAGCGCAGGTGTAGTTTAAAAAAAGCTATTTTATTGTAGATATTTTGCTAAGGTTTTAGAATATACAATATACACTAAATTTTCTCTTTTCCCAAAGCTTTAAAGGTCAGTTTTATCATTCGTCATTCACTTTAGCAGGTGGAGCACAAAGCATAATAAACCTTTAGATGTGAGAAGAAGCCACCCTGATGTCTATTAGCGTCTTTGTATTTTCCTGGTAGCTTATTAGTTTCAGGTCACAAGATCAAACTATTGCCTCATTTGTACAGGGTTTTTTTAAGCAGTTAACCAAATTCATTTTTGTGGAAGCGATACTTGCTGAATGTTGAGGTTCTTTCACACCCACAGACAAATGCACATACAGAAGAAGTGCTTGGAAAAGGTGACTTGTCAAAATGTTCAAGCCAAACGTGTAACAATGAAACTGAATTACTGGCTGAAATCAATATAAGACAAGACTGGTACCAGATAATGCATCATTCAACAGAAATCACACATGCAATGCTTAGACGCTAAAATTGGGAACGTTTTATAATTCCTCATTTTTAAAATTTGCTTTTTCCATCAAAAATCTGTTCCTTTGTTAAATAATCAAATTAAGTTTTTCCAAGTAAAATATATTAAGTTTATTATTCTCCCATGTTAAACCATGTAGATTAATTAACTTTCACACACTTCATTTGATTATATGTATCAAATTAATAGATGTTTGTTAACTTGGAGCATTATTCTCTTTTTCAGAGTACAATAAAGAGGCAGAATATATATATATATATATATCTATATATAGATATAGATTTATATATATATCTATATATAGATATATATATATATAGATAGATATATATCTATATCTATATATATCTATATATAGATATATATATCTATATATATCTATATATCTATATATATATAGATAGATATATATCTATCTATATATATTTATATATAGATAGATATATATCTATCTATATCTATATATAGATATATATCTATCTATATATCTATTATATATCTATATATATAGATATATCTATCTATATATATATATATATATATATATATGTGCACAAAAATTTTAACTTAGTGATATTTGTTGCACCAAACTGAGATCTTCTCAAAATACATCATTTCCTTTATCCCTTCTGTGTTTCAAGTCATCCAAACACACCTAACTTCACTCTCGTTGACAGATATTTGCAAAAAATAACAATAAAACACATAAATGTTCATTTTCTGCAAAGAAATATAGATTTTCTTTTATTTTTTTGTAAATAAAATTGTAGTACGATGAGGATTTCTATATGCGGATATTGCTGTTACCAAACAGTGGTTCTGTTTGGTAACAGCTTGGCGTGTCTCAAACAGGAAGTACCCACAAACTCTTAGAAATCCTCTGTTGTGAACACATCAGCCTTTAAAACCACAAGAACTCAAAAAACTTTCATAATTTCTAACATTTTAGTTTTAATTAGATCTTTTTTCTAGTTATTGCTGCAAGTAGTGTGACATCCAGCAGCAAACCTGACATTAGGACTTGTGGCATTTAGAAGTAATATTCAGATTTGCACTGTCCTATGTGGTCTGGTGACTCAGCCTGCTGATTGGTTTTTATTCTTCTCTTGCACGAAAGGTGAAAAGCCCGAAAATGTTTCGTGAAGCTCCACTCCTTCCTTTAATTACCTCCTTGCCCTATTTGTTGTTGGAACTAGAGCTGTTCTGTTTTTCTTGTTTATTTTGCCAGACTCATTTATATAAAGTATTTTAAGTTGCACTAAAAAAATTACAAAATACTACTTAAAAGATAATATCTTAGTTTATAATTATTCCACTTTGTTAAGATACTGAAAGTGAAGACTGAAGCATGCAAATTCACCTTGAAGGTGTTTCAACCTGGATGTTATCTGACTTTTTAACTGATAAGTGTTACTGCTTATTTAAGGCAGTGACAGCAATAACACCTTCTTTGGAAAACCATTTCCTCCTATGCCAGCCTGGAAACCAAAAAGCTGTTCTTCCTTGTGCGGTCTTGATTGTATGTGACCATAAACGTCCCTGTTCTGTTGAATTTAATGGATTAAAGAGGTTAACCTCTGTAAAGGACTATACAGTAAATGTTTGTGTTTTTTCGTTCCAAGTTTCGTTTCTTGCATAGCAAAGTCTACATCTGCCTCATCAAAGGTCAGATGACATCCTGTGTTGTCTGTGTTTGCAGGCCTGGTGTTGGGGAGCCTGCTGCTCATCTTTCTGTGTGTGGGAGCCGTTGTCTCGCACGACAGCAGGCTGGACTACCACTGGGATCTGTGGAAGAAGACACACAGCAAGACATATCAGAATGAGGTATGCAATTCAAGATATGTAGGGCATTTTGAATTTTCTCCTTCATTTGCACACAACAAAACAAACATTCATTCCTGACAAATCCGATTCTGCAAAAAAAGCTTCTTGTTCAGGATCTAATTCTAATTTACTCTTGATATTATATTATGAGTTTAAAATTATTCACTCTCGATTCGACTAATCTAATGTTGTGTTTGTCTTAATCTAAGGTGATAAAAAAAATTATTAAAGATCATTTATTTGTGTTTTCACAAGACCAAAGGCTTCATAAGTCTGACATTGTGTTTTAAGAAGTGCTTCAGGGT